AGTGCAAGTGTCTGTACAGAGGTCACTTTGCTGTGGAAAGGGCTTTTATATTTGCACAGGCCAGGTACCGGGTGTGGATTCCTAGGTTGGGCTGGACTTATGAATCAAGTCTATGTAGCTCTTTGAGGGGCAACGAGATCTCTGCTGATTCGAGTATTCCTCCAGGTCCTTTCAGTTTCTCCCATTTCCCCACCTTCCAAAACATACCTAGCACAGCACCTGATGTAGAGTAGGCATCCTGTGAACACCTGTATGCTGAATCAACCAAAAAAAGAGTTCATACATATGACTGTATCTGCAAAACAGGCTCAATCCACTGAGGAATGAAAATATTTTGAAAAATTTCACAAATTTTTTTGTTCTCATCATTTCGCAAACAATAGAGTAAAGCAAATGTTTACATACCATTTGCATTGTGTTAGGTATTATAAGTGATCTATGGTTTAAAGACATGGTTTAAAGTACACAGAAGGATGTGGATAAGTTATTTGTAAATACTACACTGCTTTGTTGGTTTTTTTAAAAAAAGATTTATTTTATTTTTATTGGAATGGCAGATATACATAGAGGAGGAGAGAAAGAGATGAAGATCTTCTGTTCGATGGTTCACTCCCTAAGTGCCGGGCCGATCCGAAGCCAGGAGCCAGGAATTTCTTTCCGGCTCTCCCACATGGGTGCGGGGTCCCAAGACTTTGGGCCATCCTCGACTGCTTTCCCAGGCCACAAGCAGGGAGGTGGATGGGGAGTGGAGCTGCCGGGATTAGAACCGGCGCCCATATGGGATCCCAGCACGTTCAAAGCGAAGACTTTAGCCACTAGGCCACTGCGCCAGGTCCACTGTTTTGTTTTTTAATGTCTATTTATTATTTTGTTAATGGAAAGAACTACAGCGTGAGATAGCATGAGCAAATGAGAGAAATAGAGTGAGAGGGAGACAGAGTGAGCGAGAGAGAGGAGAAAGAGAGAAGAGAGAGATGTTCCATATGTTGTCTACACGCAAATGGCCCTGTCAGCCAGGATGAGTGAGGTTGAAGTCGAGAGCCTGGAAGGCCGTCTGAGTCTCCAGGTGGGTGGCCGTGTCCCAGGTACTTGGACATCATCTGTTACCTCCCAGGGTGTACACTGGCAGGAAGCTGGATCAGAAGCAGAGTAGACAGGACCTGAGTCAGACACTGTGTGGATACTGGCATCCCGTGTGGCAGCTTATAACCCATTGCATAGCAGCTGTTCCAACTACACCATTTTCAATATGGGACTTGAGGAATGGCAGATTTTGGCACTTGTCAGGAGATAGGGCTAGGGACCTAGAATGAATTCCCTGAGGTAACGGAGGAATCTGTTTTCTGCAGCTATGGTACTTAAAACTGAGTAAAAGTCAGCACATTTGCATTTCGCACAGAAAAATAAACTGAATCTTTAAAAAATTCTGGAAAGGCTCTAAATGTCAAATTACATGTTTTGCACTCTAGCCTCTCCTGCCTGTGCTCGCCACCTACTCTCCTCCTTCTTTCCTTGCTTCTTCTTCTTCTTTTTTTTTTTTTCAAAATTTTTACAATGGCATACTTTCATTCCACTTTGCAATCACAGGCTTAACATTCTACTAGGTAAAGATTTCAATTCATAGCAAGCAGAGAACAAAGAAAATGACACCCTATTTGTTATTCCTCAAGAGTACAGAGGAAGGCTACAAGTCACGATGAAATCTCAAAATGTCAACATCACTCATAGGTTTTGTGTTTTGTACTCTGTGCATTATTTACCATAGATCAAGGGAAACATATTTGTCTTCTTTGGATTGGTCTTTCACTAAGTGTGATGATTTCTAGCTGCATCCGTTTTGCTGAAAAAGACAAGCTTTCCTTCTTTTTAATGGCTGAGTAGTATTCCTGTGTGTGTGTGTGTGTGTGTGTGTGCGCGCGCGTCAATTTCCTTTATCTGGTCTTTCATTGATAGACACTTTCCTTTTTGATTTTCCAATATCCTTCAAGATTCAGCTCATATCGTGCATTTCCCACAAGGTCTACCTGGCTTTTCCGTGATGCTTCCCGTCTCTTAAATGTTACGACGTTTTAGGTTGAGGGCACGAAGAGTGGCCATTCATGTCAAATGCCATAATAGATTACTTAAAAGATATCATTGTTTGGTTCATTTTTACTGATCGTATGTTTTGTATCATTCTCAGAAATGGATATAGTACTTGTCACACACTGATATTGAATAAAGATTTGTTGAACTGAGTTGAATTGTTGAGTACCATGGAGCTATGAGAATACATACTTTTCCAGATATCACTTAACTAGCACAGTAAAAGAAAATCAGAACTTGAGAACAATTCACATAGACTTTGTATTTAACTTCATTTTCTCATTGCTTTGGGCATGGAATTGGGACTTTCCACTTCAATTACCATATATCACATACTTCGGTCAGGCATATACCTGATTTCTTGGCTAATAACTTTTACATACATTCCAGAAAGTTATGAAAGATACATGAATACAGAATGTTGATAGCGACAACCATCAAAAATGAATGTGATCCTGTGCAGGGAGCAGTCTGAGCTCAGAAAGATAACAGAACTGGCCTAAGTTTCTTGACTACTGAAAACTTCGCCCAGAATTCAGGTCTACTTTCTGATCCAGTGGCCCCTCAGGGCACCAAGTTTAGTTATCAGAATAGCATTTCTCACAAAGTGTTTTAATTTTTAATGCAGTGTGCTAAGTCCCTGGGGTAAAATAAGCCTCATTATTACAGCTAGTAAGCAGTCCAAAGCAATTTGATATTCCTGTAAAACTGAATAGATTTTGAAGTAAAGCATTCTTGGGCTCATTGCCCTCAGAAGGGCCCATCATCTCATTTGCCTTTAAAAAAAAAAAACCAGTAAATGAGTCCTTCTGTGTAGACCATCATTATATATCTTAGCTTTATTGATTCCGTTGTATTCCTGTTAATTACGGGAACCACAAAAACCTTCAAGTAGATTCAATCCACAATAAAGAAGATTAGTAACACTCTGTGCGTTGACTCTTTGTAATTATAAACTGATGTTTATTTTTCTGTGCCTTACTGTTACTGACATCCTGGGAAATACTTAAACCAGATCTTTTGACTTACTACTTCAAGGAAAAACTTCTGAGAGTACTCGTGTCTTAGTAGTAATGATTAATCTGCGTGATCATCCCATGAAATAGAAACTTCGAAACATTGTTTTTTTTTGTTTTTGTTTTGCTTGAGATTACAGAAGAGGAAAGCCAGAATTGAATGAGATGATGTTCACATACTGAGCATGATTCTAGGCAAATTGTATGTTGAATAAATGCAGGTGAAAGATTCAGTGTGAAGACTAAATACGTTTGAGAAAATAAAAGGAAAGTATTGTGCAGATGGGACATAAGATACATGCTGTAGTTTCTGTGTGTCTTATGGAGTTGTGGCTGAATAAACTTTAGTCCGAGTTTATAATGATCTTTTTAAAAAAATTGTTTGTGTATTTATTTAGTTATTTATTAGAAAGGTAGATTTACAGAGAGGAGAGACAGAGAGAAAGCTCTTCTGTCTGACTGATTCCCTCCCCTAGTGGCCGAAATGGCCAGAAGTTAGCTGATCCGAAGCCAGAAACCAGGAACCAGGAGCTTCTTCTGGGTCTCCAATATGAGTGTAGGGTCCCAAGGCTTTGGGTGTTGCTTTCCCAGGCCACAAGCAGAGAGCTGGATGGAAGTGGAACAGCAGGGACACAAACCAGCACCCCTATGGGATCCTGGTACTTGTAAGGCAAGGATTTGGCCACTGAGCTATTGTGCTAGGTCCTCTCCCCTATAATCTTTTTGAAGCACCTTTGCACTAATGCTGCAAGTGAGTTTTGTCTCTTCGCTATTCTTTTTTATTATTTTTTTAAAAGATTTATTTATTTATCGGAAAGTCAGATATACAGAGAGGAGGAGAGACAGAGAGGAAGATCTTCTGTCCGATGATTCACTCCCCAAGTGAGCGCAACGGCCGAAGCTATGCCAATCTGAAGCCAGGAACCTCTTCCGGGTCTCTCACACATGGGTGCAGGGTCCCAAAGCTTTGGGCTGTCCTCCACTGCCTTCCCAGGCCACAAGCAGGGAGCTGGACGGGAAGTGGAACAGCAGAGACACAAACCAGCACCCCTATAGGATCCTGGTACTTGTAAGGCAAGGATTTGGCCACTGAGCTATTGTGCTAGGTCCTCCCCCCATAATCTTTTTAAGTACTTTTGCATTAATGCTGCAAGTGAGTTTTGTCTCTTTGCTATAGTTTCTAACTTATGGAAATTAAATTCATGATTTATACAATGGGATTTTAGTGTAGTGGGCAATACAAGGCAAAACTTGTTTGACCGCAACAAGGTTTCCTCAACATTGTCTGGTCCGTAGTTTCTGCATGGGGAGCCCAGAGTGGCCCAGCTAGCTGTTAAGTTGCTGCTTGGATTTCCGGTTCAGAATTCCCCTCCTCTCTTCTTTGGATACTGCTTCTTGCTAATGTGCACCCTGAGTGCCTGAGTCCCATCACCCAAGAAGGAAACCCAGACTGGGTTCCAGGGCGCCTAGATTCGTCCTAGCCTATTCCTGTAAGTCGCAAACATTTGGGGCCAGTGAAACAAGCAGAAGGTATTTCTCCCTTCCTCTGTCTCCCTTTCAAATAAAAACAAAAGAAATAAATACAAATAAAAGATGTGGGGGGGATTTCAGTCTTGGAAAGAGTCCGTCTGATAGTTCTGCTTCAGGAGACCCGAATCGGCCTTTCCAGAAGGCACACTCTAAGGGGATGCGCTGGCAGAGGAGGAGGGGGTGCAGGAGAGGGCTGAGGGCGCCAGGCCCTGGGCCGGGGCCAAGGTCGCGCCCGCCTCCCCTCTGCAGCCGCTCCTGACGTCAGGAGGAGGCGGTGCGGAGGCGGTACCGGCCGCGGGGCGGGGCGGGGGGCGGGAGGGCTGCGTCGGCGAGCGCAGGCCGCGGCGCCCGCGGAGGAGCCAGGAGCTGCGGAGCGCGCGGGCCTGCGCCTCATCCCCCGCTTGCCCTCCAGGCGCCCCTTCCTCAGCGCGGGGCGCGCGCTCGCCGGGGCCCTGCGGGGCTGGCTGCTGAGCGAGCCGGCTCCCCCGGATCCCGACCCCGATCCGCACAGCTGCGCGGAGCCGCTCGGTCCGGGCACACACGGAAGTGGTGAGTGTCACCGAGCAGAGGTGGGGGAGCCTGCGCGGCCGGCCGCGGAGAGCTGGCGAGGGGCGCGGGGCCCCGCGCGGGCTCGGCCGCCCTTCTCCGCTGTCCCCGCGCACCGCGCAGCTGGGCCGCCCCGCCGTCCACCCCGGCCGGCTCGGGGAGCCGTGTGGGTGCCGGAGGCGGGGGATTTCCAGCGGAGCCGGGCGGCCAGCAGGGCTCGGGTGAGGACCGGTCAGCCGGCGGAGAGGGCGCTCGAGCCGGCCGCCCCCTCCCCCAGAGCGCACGGCAAGTTTTCATAAACAAGCCCGGAGCGCGCCGTCTGACATCCTGTTTATACCACCCTGAGATCCAGGCGCAGGGTTAGGGCTGAGGTTCCTCGCTCGCTGCGTCCTGAACTTGACCGCCTGTCGCGGCCGGGGGCGAGGAGGTCTGCTGAGAGTGTAAAGCTTCCTTTCCCCTGGTCATCTCAGGGAAGAACAAGTTTGAGGGATTTGGAATCCGGTGTGTGCGTGGGTGGAGAGGGGGGCGTCAGTGAACTCAGGAAACGCCCCCCTCCTCTCAGATTCTGTTATGAACTCAGGCCTCGGGTAGTCAGCGGGAGAAAAAGAGGGGAAGGTTGGACCCTGGACGAGAGACCCCTTCTTCCGTCCCAGGGAACCCAGACCCTACTGAACGTAAAAGGCACTGAGTAACCGGAACTCTGGCTGGTTTCTGGTTTCTACTTTCTGGGAGCCTGCGGGCCGGCGCCTCAGGGACCCAGATGCTTGGCCGGAGGCGCACATACCCGAGGTCCCAAGGATGTGGGCTTCTTGCCTGAGGGTTTCGGAAAGAGCTAGTCCAGGGAGCCTGGGGAGAAGGTGGCGCTTGGCAGGTGTTGGAGTGCACCTTTCTTCATGTTTTCAGTGACTGCCTGGGCTAGGCAGGGAGCCTTGTTGTGGCGGCCACTGCTTAGCTCCATATCATACATGCTGTTAGCGTTTCTCCTCCCCTCCTCCTTTACCCCAACCCCTGCCTAGGCCATAGGCTCTTTTCCTTCTAAAGTGGCATTTTCAATGGCATAAAAATCACCATTACTTTCTAAAGGGACGAAAGCACGGAAAACCTTGGTAGTTCAGTGATGTGTGGATTGCAGATACAATTAGATGAAGTCATGGAGTCTTTGGTTGTTGAGTCCCCCTCCCCCCCCCATCGCCCGAGAAAAGATTTGAGATATGGTTGGGTATATACATACACTGGAAAAAGATGCTTTCAATCAGCATTTTGTGTTGATTACATGCTTGTTCCTCTCATTTTGTGTTTTCGCTGTCATTGCTTTTGGTGATGCTGAGGTTCTCCAACCGTGGGAATTGTTTTTATTGAGGGATCAATGTGTTCTTTTGTACTTTGTGTTGAAGGTTAATGGAGAAATTCTCAGGGTGGCTGGAGCCTTCTGATACAAAATGCTTTGTAATGTGGAGAAAATGTCTCCCATGTATAGATCCAGATCATGTTTCAGTGTGAGCAAATCATGCTATAGTGGTTGCAGCCGGAGTGGGAATGCTGGTGACCTCTGAATTCCTCACTTTTGCTGTTTATTTTCTCGGTTTATCTAAAACAGCTCAAACCTGTGTTTTATTAGGGTTAGCGTGTGACGCTGCACATTGTAGCCAGTGGAGTTCCCTCTGTTCTGCAGTGTACTAGTGTTTACTACAGCCAGGAAATGATGGGTGACATTGCCTGAGTTAGACGTTGGTAAGTTCAGGTCCTTCTTGAAATATAGCTACATTTCAGTTGTAATTTAGACGGTCTTAATTTCAGCTTGGCTGATGCTATATACAGACTTTTAATGACCTCTCTGATCATGTAATTCATTGTACAGAGTGAAGGTATTAAGAAGAGTTAGGTTGCAAAATCATTTCAAAATTCAGGCACTAAATGCTTAAAAACAAAAAAACTCAGTGAAAATAAGGAATCTGGAGGGTGGTGTTGCTTTTATGGGAGTGGAGACTTGGATTAAGTGGCATACAGAACTTGAGCATCTAAATAGTGCTACGAATTCTGCCAGTTTAGATTCTGGGCTTACAAATGCTAGTGGTTTCAGCTGCAGGACACCAGCTGCAAATTCTAATCACGTTGTCGAGCTTTCACCTGGTTTCTTCTGAATGCCTTGAAGTAACTCCTAGATGTGGCCAGAAAGCCAAATGAAGTGAGTCTGGAGCACGTGTGTGGGTTTCTACCTGTTTTTGGAATGAGAACACTGAGATCCTACACGTAACTGCGTTTATACAGCTTATTACCAAAGACCAAGATCTGAACTGTGTGTTTGTTGTCTCTCAGATCCCCCGCCAAGCATTTCCCCTCTCAGTACATGTTCTGTGTGTCTTTATTATGATCTGATAATGATATGCAGGTAGAAAATTGATAATCTGAGATGTACAAAGACATTCTCATTCATTTCTACATTAGAAGAATTGTTTGGGCAGTATGGGGGATTAGTTAATTGGTGGAGTCTCTCTGAGGAAGCAGCATGTGATGGCTCTGTCATCTGGAGATGCTAGCAGGCTGGGTATGAACGACACTGCTGGCCTCTGCAGACATGCTAGCAGTGTCAGGACATTTTGTTACAGTTGCAAGGGTGTGGTGCTGTTGGCATTCAGTGGGTAAGGCCAGGGCTGCTGCTCATGCGGCTACAGTACACAGAGCAGCCCTTGGCTGCAAAGCCTTATGGACACAAAGTATCAGATGTGCTTAGAGATGGCTTTGCAGTTCTGGGTGAGGAACAACAATGTACAGGCTCTGTCTGTTCCAGTCTGAAAGTTTCCACCTTTGCCATGTCACTGAGTTGCTGAGGGGAAATCAGGTAAATTTTGCCTGTAAAATGGGTGGGAACGGGTGTGCCATTATGAAAATGCTTTGAAAGTTAATGCCTCTTATTGAGAGGAAAGGGTTTGAGGCTTCTGTCCATCATTTTTAGGGGTAAAAGACTGGTAAGTGTACTTTAACACTGCACTTTCCTTAAGCATAAAGATTATTTTCTTGTAAGAAGAGAGAAAACTCATTGTAGAAAAGTAAGACAGTACAGGAAAGTAGTCATTAGAGGGGAGAAATCATCCGTGCGGCACTCCTTCCCGTTTCAGGGCAGTACTTTCTCAGCAAATCCTTCTCGGCAAGAGCAGCTAACACTGGGAGATGGGCTCATGATGACAACAGCAGGAGCAGCTGGTGAAGCAAGGTGCTGCTCCTTTCGATGCCTCTCCCCCCTACTTTTTTCTCCTTACAATTAAAGTTCCATTCCATTATAGTAGGCATTAGGCAAATTGGCACCCTGTTTTTCCACATCCTGAGCTAACGTCTGTGCCATATTCTCATTAGGCTTGTTGTTTATTCTCTGCTTCTCATCTCCCCTGTGCTCAGCTAGGTGTGCCACTGCTGCTTCCTGTCTCAAAACCCTCCAGTGACATGAGCTTTTAAACAGCTACCGTGCCGAAATGACTCGGTTTGAAGGGCAGGAAGCGAATTGCTGTGTTTCTTCTTCCTGCCGAAGTGTGCCAGCGTTTTTGGCAGATTGAGGCAACAGGAAAGCATAAAACATGAAGCTCGTTTCCACGCCATCTTCACGTCTGAGGCTTTAGGATCTGTGATTCTTTGCAGCTGGCAGTGGACACGCATTCTTTCTTGGTGCTCTATAGGTAAATTACCCAGTCTCAAGGCGAAAAGTGCTTTAAATGCAAAAGGAAACTTTTAAGTTTGCTGTGATCAGAAGATAGAGCTGGATATTGGGATATTCATTTGTGTTAAATCAGTTTACTTAAGAGTAATCACTCATTTTATTCATCTATTCCTTCTGTAAAGACTTGTTGAGTTCTTGCTGTTTTTGAGACTGAATACGTAGAAAAACAAAATAGGCATACCTCCTGCTGTTACAGAATCTGCAGCAGGTGAGAGGCCCCGGAGAGCTTTGGCAGTTTTGCAGTTATACACAAGCAAACGGGTTTGTCTGTCTTTGTGACTGTGGAATGATTGCTAGTAACCCTCAAGGTTTTCATGTGAAGTCTGAGGAGTAAGAAGTAGGCTGCCCCCCTTTTCTTTTTTTTTTTTTTAATTAATTATTCATTGATATACAAACATTTCTTCAGTACCTACTGTGTGTCTTGCAGTATGCGTGCGTGTGTATGTGGGCCTTCTATGGGAATAAGCCTGCCGTGCATAGATATTGCCCAATGTGGGTGATACTGTGCTAGAGTGCCCCCTGGGCAGGCATTTGATACCGTTAGGGTACCTGCATCCAGTTTTGGAGTGCTTGGGTTCAAATTCCAGCTCTGCTTTAGATTCTAGCTTCCTGTTGGTGCACACCCTAGAAGGCAGCAAGCAATGCTGTGATGCTTGGGTTTGTGTCATCCTTGTGGGAAATCTGGCTTGGGTTCTGATCTCCTGGTTTTGGTCTCGTCCAGCAGTGGCTACTGCAGGCATCTAGGAGAGAGAACTAGTAAATGGAAGGTCCCTCCATCTTTGCCTTTCAAATAAAAAAAATTAGGGGCAGACATTGTGGTACAGCACATTAAGCAGCTGCTTAGGAAGCCCACACCCTGATTGGAGTGCTGCTTTGAGTGCTAGTCACTCTGCTTTCAGTCCATCTTCCTTCTTATGCATCCTGGGAGTGGCAAATGATGGCTCAAGTGTTTGGGTCTCTGCCACCCGCATGGAAGACGCAGGTGGAGTTCCAGGCTCTAGGCTTAGGTCTGGGTCAGCCAAGGCTGTTACAGGCAGTTGGAGAATAAGCCAGATAACTTTGCTTGCTCTCTCTCACTCTTCCTTTTGATTAGATATAAGTAATTTTTTTTTTCCGAAGCACTGCAACCCCAGAAGAGCAAAACCCTGCCTGGAAATCTTGTTAAATACTTTTTTTTTAAAGAGGTCTAGTTTGAATAGGACTTTAAGGAGTCAGTGGGAGCAGAGCTAGAGTGCGAAGAGGGTGTGGGTGACAAAACAGGAAGGGGCCACTGTGGCTAGAGCAGAGACCAGGT